CTGTTTTCATGCATTCAAAATTATTTATACACTGTGTATAATATTAATGTTCATACATAAGTCTTGCTTGATCAAGTACTTTTAAAAGGACTGTAGATTAAATGAGTTATTTTGTATGCTACAACTGAATACAATAAATCTTATAGGATATTATTTGCTGTATGTAAATATTTTTGAAACCAAGAGATCCATCACCATTTCAACTACAGTAATACCTCTGTTTTCATAAATTTTTTTGCAAAAAATTTGTCTCGTATTTCATAGGCATGCCCACATGACCTCCAGCTAATTTTAGGAAAATATAGGTTTACCCACACATTTTCCTGCTCAGTGTGTTGTTGTTTCTCATTGTGTGAGCATTACCCTTTGCATCTAGCCAAACAATTCCATTGCTTACCTTTCCTTTTAACTCCATCATGGGACCAAAGAAAGTTTCCAGAGCCAGCAGGGCCCACCAGTGGCCAAGTGGTTCTGTTCCCTGAACACTGGGAGTTTGGTTGTGGATTTGCACCTCGCCAGGACACTGGCCATGTGTAGTTTTCTGGGTTTTCTCCATGTCTAATGCCTGAATAGGGGCCAGTTACCCTTAAAAAGACATCCCCCTAAGCAAATCACCCAAGTGTTGCTTGCCATAACTTAACTAAACAAACAAACAAAAAGAGCCAGCAGCCCTTCAAATGTTATGTTAAATGTTCATTTATTCTTTACATTAGTCTTTTATATTCATTTTAGATTAATTTCTTATCGTTTTTAGTATTAAACACAATATTTATTCTCCATAAAATGTGTTTTTGGTATGTATTTTGGTGTGTCTAGAATGAATTAATTGGATTTACATTGATTCATAAGGAAATAATTGCCTCGGTTTTCGTCAGTTTCAGATTACGCCGATTGTTTTCAGACAGATTATCGAAGAAAGCCGAGGTATCATTGTATCAATATAAATTATGCAATACAACTATACAGTAGACAAAACCATTTATAGTGGATATATACTGAGAAATCATCTCCTGATTTTATTTCTTCCAAGAAAACGTGACATCTTGGAAACTGAGTCAGGAGATATTAATGAAATAACTATACCAGTTATGTGTTTGTCTAAACTTGTATGCATAAAAAGAAGATGTAGCTTTGAATATTTAGATGAAGTTATTAGTAGCATTTGTATCTTGTACTAAGATTATTTTTATCATAAATTATTTGAAGTACAGCAGAGACCTGGACTTAATAGGACCAGATTTAATTTGGACAAATGAAATTTAGATAAAGTGAATGAAACTACTTTCCAGCAAAAATTTTGTAAAGAAGGCAAATGTTTTCAACCATGTTAAACAGACATCTTTAGGCTAACTGTGACCTTCACAGCTGTTAAAACAAAAGGATTGCTGTCCATGTGCATCACGACATACATTTAAGAGGAGTGATGTCAGAAAAGGAGGAGGAGAGGGTTGTAAGATTAAAGATTGTAGATTGACTTCTACATATAATACACATCTCAAAGCTCGATGAGTTAATATAATAATCCAACAATCGCCTAAATATTCGGGCTGTAATATGGGGAACTATTGAGATCTAGATTTGGGGAAGGAATCTACATTTCAATAGTTTATAGCAGCATTTTTTCTCGTGGCTTTGTAAATTTCCAACTAATTTTCTAATTTTAACAATTTCAAAGGTCAATTAGCCTGAAGATATGTGTTTAACACAGCAAAAAATGTTTGCTTTCTAATAAATTTGTACTGTAAATTGGTTTCATTCACTTCATTTATTAAGTATATCCAGTTTTGAGTAGTTGATTGAAATTTAGATAATAGAAATTTTGAAAAATTTGAACTGTTGGGATAAAAAAAAATTCTTGTAATACTAAATAAAGAAAATATTTAAAATTTTAATACTTGTCAAAATATGTATGCATACTAAAAAATCCAGCAAAGATATGCTTAACTTTCCTGGCAACATTTAAAATTGTGTGTGTGGTGCCATTTGTTATAAATAAATATGTATTGTAATAGAAATAAAAAAATTTTTTTTAATTACTGTGTTTTATTTAAATCCTAATTAAAGTCAATTTTTTTCATTAATTGATTTAAAAGTTAAGTATGCACAAACCAATTGCACATATGTTATTTTATTAATAAAAATCACTTCAGGAGCAAAAATAGTTTAAATGATTAATGTTTTCTCTCTCTTTTAATAGATCACATTCCTGGAGATGATCTATCAAAGAGTTTAAACATATTAAACATTGAAACTACTTTCATTGTTTTGGTGTTCTTTTTTATTATTAAAAATTAAGGTAATGAAAATTTTAAAATTTAAAGATAAGTTTATTGTGATCTGTACACAATTGAAAAATAAAAAGTGATACATTTTTTTTACTTGTTTATAAATGATAAAATAATAATTGCAGCTTTGCAAAATTTTGTATATTGAAAATGTATTTGCTGCATTTGAATTTGGCATTATGTATAATAATAAATAATTATGATTTTTGTCTAAATTATATTTAATTTAGATTAACAAATTTATGTATGATTAAATAAAATTTACTGTTAAAAGAAATTAATTAGAAAATAGTTAAGTATGTATTATGTAAGTATTTAGACATTTTTTAAAGATCATTTCATCTACAGACCTTTAATGAATGCTGAACTGTTTTCATGCATTCAAAATTATTTATACACTGTGTATAATATTAATGTTCATACATAAGTCTTGCTTGATCAAGTACTTTTAAAAGGACTGTAGATTAAATGGGTTATTTTGTATGCTACAACTGAATACAATAAATCTTATAGGATATTATTTGCTGTATGTAAATATTTTTGAAACCAAGAGATCCATCACCATTTCAACTACAGTAATACCTCTGTTTTCATAAATTTTTTTGCAAAAAATTTGTCTCGTATTTCATAGGCATGCCCACATGACCTCCAGCTAATTTTAGGAAAATATAGGTTTACCCACACATTTTCCTGCTCAGTGTGTTGTTGTTTCTCATTGTGTGAGCATTACCCTTTGCATCTAGCCAAACAATTCCATTGCTTACCTTTCCTTTTAACTCCATCATGGGACCAAAGAAAGTTTCCAGAGCCAGCAGGGCCCACCAGTGGCCAAGTGGTTCTGTTCCCTGAACACTGGGAGTTTGGTTGTGGATTTGCACCTCGCCAGGACACTGGCCATGTGTAGTTTTCTGGGTTTTCTCCATGTCTAATGCCTGAATAGGGGCCAGTTACCCTTAAAAAGACATCCCCCTAAGCAAATCACCCAAGTGTTGCTTGCCATAACTTAACTAAACAAACAAACAAAAAGAGCCAGCAGCCCTTCAAATGTTATGTTAAATGTTCATTTATTCTTTACATTAGTCTTTTATATTCATTTTAGATTAATTTCTTATCGTTTTTAGTATTAAACACAATATTTATTCTCCATAAAATGTGTTTTTGGTATGTATTTTGGTGTGTCTAGAATGANTTATATATACTTTAACAACAATTTAATGAAATTAGGTAAATCTGAACTAACTTCCCATCCACGGTCGTTCGCACGCCTCTCCTTACTGTAGCGTTGAATATTTACGGCCTCAACTATGACGTCACTCCCCACTAACCCCCGGTTGTGATTGTGCATCTTCTGTACGTAGCGCGCTTACTTTAAAATCTTTTTCCCCAACTTTAGCAAGTAACCTATCTGCACACCTCCCTTCTTTACCAAAAGTATGTATCTTTCGCCCTCGGTATCGTATACCTATCATCGACGATGACGTCACTGGTAAGACGATACCTGGGTAAACATTGGCAGCATTTAAACTTCTTCTAACCGACGCTCCACAGTGTACCCGAGGAAGGCCTATTAAGAAGGCCGAAAACGTTTGTACTCCAGTTAATAAGGCTAGAAATTAGTGAGAAAGGTTTTGTGCTGATAATCTTA